TCCGGTAATCTGGCTATTCTGTTAGTAGCTGGCAATCCAACACAACGAGGAGTTTACAGCTCACCTGCTGCCTGCGTTATGTCATTATCGGCACAAGTCATATTTTTGTACCTCTGTATCGTGACGACCTGTCTCCTGAACACCCGGCCCGCAGAATTAGGACATGTCCAGGAAAGCTCATAGGCTCGCGTTTCCATGAGCTAGCATACCATCATAGACAAGAGGAGCCTCCTATTTTCGGGGAGACATACCTGTTGATGTTGTAATCCCTATTGTTGCTGACAGCATCCAAGTCCATTAGTCGGCAGCTGAGACTGACAAGCCCTTCAACAACCCCCACGCGCAGCATTGGCGCATCTACACGTTGATAAAATGGTCAAGTTCATTAGTTTAGGACATCAACACCAGTGCCCGGCCTCGGTGTCAAGAACTGAACGTGATCCGATCATCTAGTGCGTGACTTATAGCCATACTTCTCCCGATTACCCCTGCCACTTGAAAGATTTAGGAAGAGGTATATGGGAGGTTTTAGAAAATGTTGGGGGGTTGATTGGCCCAAGCCCCTTCAACCCTCAAAGAGAGCCCGTGGCGCGAATCGCGCAATATCAACCTGCCTGTCTGGGATACCTAGCGTAGCGGGAGCGGTGCAATGTCACAGAGAGCTTACGTCCAGGGTTGGGCATGCATTCATTGCCAACCAGAGGATTGACGCCGGCGGCTCAGTGGATTCTGGAGATGGCATAATGAGGTGGTGCATCAAAGACCCCAGCTGCATAGTAACCATCGTTATCATAGACCACCTTCTCATTAACTGAACACCCAGGTCAGCACCCTCAACCACCACCCAAAATGCACCTTCTCACCATCCTCGCCAGCCTTCTCCTCTCCCTTTTCCCGCTCTCCCTCGCCACAGTCCCCAACTCCCCCCGCTTCGACCTCACCAAACCCTCCTACGACCTCTCCCGCCACAAGACCTTCCACGATTCCACCGTCCAGCAGTCCTTCGCCTTCGACAACACCAACCGCCGCCTCTTCGTCGCCCAGCGCCTCAACAACGCCGACGACTCCTCCCTCGGCCACCTCTGCATCACCTAGCTCGACTTCTCCGGCAACCAGCTCGGGCATACTCCTGAAGACTTGTCCTCAACGAGGTGAGGGGATGGTGAGGGATAATAGGTCGGGTATCTGAGCCAAACAGCGACCCGATTGGTCGGTTGCTACCCTTCAAGAATGAGGGCGAAAGATGTTGGAATGCGGGTTTTCATCGCAACGGTCGTGCAGGTATTTAGGCAGGTATTCAACATCAGCCTCGGTAAACCCCGAGTTCATGATTTTAAGCGTCAAAAACCGTGTTCTCACTTAAGAGATTCCTGATCAATTTCTAGGGTCCACGCTCTGACCCAGGAATTTTTACAGTTTAGGTTGAAGCGAAGAGCAATATGCAGAGTTTGAGCAGGCACTCAGCCGACCAAGGACAAAGCAATCTAATACAAGGACATATAATATAAGAAGTCATCTGTTCCTCTTCACACCTGCCGTTCCTTTCTCTCACGCGGATCTTTGGAGCCGACCTTCCGAAATCTCGTTAGATACCTGTGTCTCGGCAGCTCATCGTTGATCCTCCGATGCTTCGTGCTCACGATGCGCTGCCATACGTCCCGTGACGGCCTCGGCCTCTCGCTCAGCAAGGCAAGGGAGACGGCCTCGCGCATGTCTTCCGGCAGGGAGCGAGCAATCATGTCGTTCTTCTCCCGGATGTGCTCGACCGGCGGCGGCTTGTCGAGTTGCAGGTGGGTTTCGCCCCACGCTTCGTCAAGGTCCATTCCGTCAACGAGGTCCTCCAGATCGGCGTACTGCTGCAGGTCGAGCAGGCTCTGGGCGAACAGCTCGAGCTTGGGGTACGGGATGCCGCTCGTGCTGCGCTCGCACTGGTCCGGGCTGGGAGAAAGAAGGCATTCGAAGGCCGGCAAAAGTATGAAGAAAAAGTTGACTCCCTTGAGCGTAAAGCGGGGGTAGGTGTGCATGAGCGTCTTGGGCCCCGGCACGACGCGGTGCCACACCTCGTACTTTTCGTTGAGAGGGGGGGAAGTGAGCAAGGTTATCGCTCTCTCGTATGAATCCGTCGGGACACATATTTCCCAGTTCTGAACGACTCACAGTCAGTCAAACACATCTCCTTGGGGCGCAACTCGACGGAGTACCGACCATAGGGACCCGGTGAGCGCCGTAATACACCAGGGCCTTTGTGCCGACGACGCAGCTATGGATGCCAACGCCCTCCAGCGCGGCGATGACGTCGAGTGTCTCGTTGAGACCACGGCCACAATCGGCGTCGTCCGGTTTTCCGAGATCAAGCACGTACTGAGTTCGTAATTGGGGCTGGAATCCTGGAACTCTAACTCCAGAGAGAAGCTGGCCATCGGTCTTGTCCATGGCTCAGGTAGCTGGGCGACTATTGATTTTTTTGACGAGTGCTTTGGTGATCCAGTGCCAGGAATCCAGATGCTGTCGGCCGTTGGTCAGTTAGGTTGGTAACCTGAAGGTATTTGTGGGACATGCACAGCCAGTCATGTGACTCGGACAGTGACTTGGGCCTCAGGGTGACCAAGTGATGGAAGTGACCGGATAGCGCGCTAAGGTTGCTTGAAATAGTTCCCGCATGTAATTAAGGAGGTGGCACCCGATTCCTATTATACAACCCTCCAGGATCAGAAAGGCTAATTATTTTGGTGGCCTAATAAGCTGCGGCGCACTAACGTTTGTGATCCTGGAGCATTGTAGCAGACCTTGGCTGCAGCAAAGAAAGTCAATATTTACAACACGCACAGTGGCCAATTGCACCACGCATTTGCGACGGACGCACTTGCCATACAAATAGTATAATGTTAAATATTCTTCAAAGTACTGTAATTGCGCAAGCTGTTGGTTCAATTCTTCGTTCTGCCCTGGTGTGATTTTCAGTGCGTGCCAAGTAAGGTAGGCCCTACAGTGCAGGCCCAGTAGTGGCCTTGCAAGGAAGTTGGCGGACAAGCAAGGAATTTAGACTCTATTTTGGAACCGACCTTGCTGGGGCAGTTTGACTTTGTCGAGAGATAGGGGCCCTATTGTGGTAGTTGGGCTTGTAGGATTGGGCCAAGAGTTGGCCGCCGCAGCTCATTCTAGGTACCTTAGTTGAGGAATGTCACGAATGTGTGATCGGAAGGTATTATAAAAGGACCGCAACGCTGGCAAACATGATTCCATTCCAATCTCTGTGCCCATCTCTTCAAGTCATTCAACAAGCATTGCTGGACAGTGCTCCCTTGGTTCTACTCCCAGTTCTCAGTTTTTAACTTCCATTCCACCTTCAGTTCTACCTTCAGTTCACTCCTTCGGTTCGCTCCTTTAGTTCCTACCTTCCTCCCCGCTCCTCGTACTTCTCTCTTCTCTTGTTCGAAAATGTCTTCGTACCAAAACCCCTCTCAAAGCCACAGCAGGACCTCGAGCAGAAGCTCCGGGAACCGCTCTACCCGAGGCTCGCCTACTCGCCAGCTCCCCCCTGCTCCTGCTACCTACACTGGGGAAATGCTGGACGATCTTGAGGAGCAGAATGAAAATAACGTAACGTCACGGCACCTCGTGTACGCCCTAGACCACGTCGTAGACGTGTTGAGGGCGAATGGAATCCGGTATGGCGTCATGGGCGGTATGAGCATGATCCTTCTCGGGAATCAGGGACGGACCACCAGCGACGTCGATGTGGCTGTGGAGGTTAAGACCAGGGATCTGTTGGCAGCGTTTTCTACCGACGACCGGTATATATACCCATGGATGTCTGAATCCCCCCTCGATTGAGGCTAACCCAGTTGATCTATCTAGGGTCTATATGCCTCGCGCTAATGCGGTTGCTGGAAGCGGCGTTGCTCGCATATTTGTGCTCACCGGTCGCGCCTACGGACAGGACGTCCCAACCCTCGCGGTGGAGGTCGATTTGATTCTCAATGGTGAGCGCCAAATTACTCGAGTGGCAAACCTTCAGAGACTTGCTAATCTCGCTCGGACGATGCTAACGACGTTGAACTTCGGGGATAGGTAATAAAGGCGCGCCTGGAACGCTCCGGGGCGCAACCAACAGCCATACAGTCAGCACCGCGTGCGGCCCACGCTCCTACAGCATCCTCGGCCTCCAGTACCTGTTTCTCGCTAAATTGAGGTCGTTTTATGCACGCGAGAGTACAAGGGATTACAACGACCTCGTTTGGATGTCCTTTTCTCATCCACAGCCCATTATGGACGTTGCGCCACAACTGGATTACGAGTTGAGGCGCTACTTTGCTGACCAGTTCGAAAAAAGGGAGCATGATCCGAACCGTGTCACCTGGCTCTACAACTTGCTTGGCGTGAGCAGGCCTTCGAGCCGGTCCTCCAGCCAGGGCAGCCAGGGCAGCCACCGCTCGGGTGGCAGTGGGTCTCGGAGAATTCGCTAGGTAATAACAGCAGTCATCAGGCCTTACCTTCATGTATGGTTGAGTTGGCAGGTCCATCCAGCCTCCTTTTCGCTGGTTGAAAAGAGGGTTTTTTAAGGGGTGTGTGGGAAATCATAGAGGGGCGTTGGCGTTTCGGTTCCGGGTACCTTTGTATAGAATGAGGGTAGTTTGGATATATAGACAGGTATTCATTGCAGTCGTTTCAGTATCATCGCATAACTTCGCACGTGTAACACAAAGATCTAGTGTGCCAGCCCCTCAAGCTGTTGGCACAGCTTGATGAATACCTCTAGACTGGACTTTATGTTAGCGTTGCTGCACGATGTAAACTAAGGTACATACATGTGAAAAGGCAGGCCCATTCAAAGTGTTCATCACTCTGTGTAACAAAATCCAGACATCGATATCATTGGTCAGGTATGATGCATGATATAATCATATCTGAAATGAAAAGGAAATGAGCAAAAAAGGGAGTTGTGGTTATGATGATTGCCACCGCAATCATCATACCACCGTGACATCATCATACCACAGTGACTGTACCTGGAATCGAACCAGGGTTTCCGGCTGCGTCAGAAGCCGGTGTGCTAACCACTACACTATACAATCTTTTGAAGAAAATTCCTCTGGAAGACAGACTGCACAGTGAATTGAACCCGGGTGTTGCTGGAAGGCTTATCTTTTTGAGTGGTACACTCATGAAAGAAACCACCTGGGCCTTACCCATTGCGCCAGACAGCCTCTTTTTTTCTGAACTGTTGATGGATGGTGGCTGAAATTGGGGTTATCTAGCCGGCACGGGGGCTTGCTGTGGGTAGTGTAGAGGCTAGGGACGCCGCTTATGTCAGGTGATGTGGCATGGGCTGGGATGATAAGGGGATGGTATCGTGGCGCCAGCTTCAAGCCTCGAAGTCATTGGCTGATAACATTTGAACTGAACGGGTACGTCAAGCCTTGAATGGTGTCTGAAAGTACCTAATTTGACTCACTTAGCCCCTTCACTAAGCCTTCCATCGTCGTATACGGCCATGCTTCGGTTGCCCAGAGCTTGCACAATCTCGACGGGGAATACGGTCAGGGATTCAAAGAGGAGGCCATCCCATGGATTCCACGGGCCTTTCATCATTTGAACTGGAACACCTGCCGGTGGCGAGCATTGTGATGGCGCATTGTGATGGCAGTCGGCAGGATCCGCGATTCTCGGCTTCAACACTTCTGTTCTCGATTTAGCTATGCTCTCTACTCTTTGTCTTAGCTTCATGGTTACTTGCCGACCAAAGCGAGACATAAGTCCTAATTCATGACCTACTGATTCTCAAGGCACCGTTTCAGCGCATTACCATAGGTGTCGCTTGGGCGGAGGTCATAGCCCATACTCCTATTCATTATGCCTGCGAAAGGTACCGGGCGAGGCTCAAGGCCGGAGCAATTAAGCGCGAGCCGTTAAGCGCGCCACTGGCAGTCCATCTGTGCTTTTCCATCTGCCGTCTTGTTATGGCAGTGTCCCTGGTGGGAACCCGCAGCACTAAACCGGCCCTGGAAACACGGGACTGTACCTCCGTTCTTGGCCCGGTTATAAGCGCCGGGGGGCGGCAACCTCCTCCGCATCGCATCCGGGACATAGGCGGCAAAGCCGTGAGTGGGCCGGCCGACTGGGTGGTTTTTGAAGGTCTATTCGAAACATTGGAACATGGAAAGATTGTGCTATCCCGGTAATGGCCCACCACGCCGATTGTATCGTTGTAACCCTGGGTGTGTCCCACCTACGCAGCTGAAGCAAAATGGAACCGTCGAGCTGGCGCACATGATGTAACGGAATGGAGTTCTTGCCGGGTTGAGCAGACCTGCGCTCGGGACTGGCGGGAGATCTTCCGGAACCAGCAAAGACAGAACCGGTATCATATGTAGGTTGATGCTTGTATTTAAAGCTGAGATAACCCAAGCTGATGGCCATGCCTCTGCGCTGTCCTGATTTGGCATCCTGATATCAGATAGTTACTGACAACATGCGCGTCGTCCTTGCCATTCTCAGTGGCTTGCTGGTCACGGCGGGTGCCTCTCCCGTCCCCGAGCTTGAGCCGCGCCAATCCAGCAACCCCTTCGTTGGACGCAGCCTGTTCGTCAACCCAAAGTACAGCAAGTCTCTCGAGCAGACTCGTCAGGCCTTCCTGTCACGCGGGGACCAAACCAACGCGGCCAAGGTGCAGTACGTTCAGAACAAGGTCGGCACCTTCGTCTGGATCTCAAACATCCTCCTTCTCCGCGACATCGATGACGCTATCCGCGACGCCCGTGCCGCCAAGGCTAGCGGCCAGAACTCGAATCCCATTGTCGGTCTTGTTCTGTACAACCTCCCCGACCGTGACTGCAGTGCCGGTCATTCTTCTGGGGAGCTGAGCCTCGACCAGAACGGTCTTAACCGGTACCGAACCGAGTACGTCCAGCCGTTCGCCCAGAAGCTCAAGGCTGCGTCAGATCTCCAGTTTGCCGTCGTTCTCGAGCCCGATGCCATCGGCAACATGGTCACTGGCACCACCAGCTTCTGCCGCAACGCCCGCGGGCCTCAACAGGACGGCATTGCCTACGCCATCCAGCAGCTCCAGGCCAGCAATATTCACCTCTACCTCGACGTGGCCAACGGCGGTTGGCTCGGTTGGGCGGACAACCTCGCGCCGAGTAAGTAGACCTTTTCCAGCTTGCCCAGCTGAAAGGACATGCGCTGATCTATCATCCGCCATCTAGCCGCCGCCGAGGTTGCGACCATTTTGCAAAAGGCGGGCAGCAACGCCAAGATCCGGGGCTACTCTAGCAACGTCTCCAACTACAACCCCTACCAGACCAACAACCCCCCCGCTTACACCGAGGGCAGCCCCTCAGCGGACGAGTCTCGCTACGCCACATCCCTCGGCAACGCCCTGAGGGCGCGCGGACTCCCGACCAACTTCATCATTGACCAGGGCCGTGTCGCGCTTCCAGGAGCTCGCAAGGAGTGGGGCGAGTGGTGCAACGTGTCTCCGGCAGGCTTCGGCCAGCCTTTCACGACCAACACCAACAATCCTAATGTCGATGCCATCGTCTGGGTCAAGCCCGGTGGCGAGTCTGACGGCACGTGCGGCATGTCGGGAGCTCCGCAGGCCGGCGCCTGGTTTGATGCCTACGCGCAGGTGCTCACTACCAATGCCCACCCCGACATCCGCGCCGAGGGTGGTGGCAGTAACCCTGCTCCTACTTCGACTAGTACTTCTTTCGTTTCGGGTCCTACTACCTCCCCGGCTCCCGTAAGTGACAAATTCCCTTATTGTCTCCTTTGTTCCTATGCTACAGAGGTTTCTGCCAGAGCAAGTAAGAATTGGTCGTGCTAACAGATTTGTCGTAGGGCGGTAACTGCGCTGCTATGTGGGGGCAGTGCGGTGGCCAGGGCTGGTCCGGCCCGACCTGCTGCTCTCAGGGCACATGCAAGGCCACCAACCAGTGGTACTCGCAGTGCTTGTAGATATTTGCTGTAGCTGGTTGGATAGGTGTACATGGAGAGATCGTATAGTGCGGGCAAGGAACTGTGGGGAGGCGGTGAATTGGTGGGAAAGGAGCCAAAGACACAGTGTGGCCGGCCAAGAGAAAAGGACGTGGGTTTGGAACAGCTGGGGCCGGCTCACAACAGATCACCAACGCGTATTCTTGGACGTATCCATGGAGACTGGATCTATCAATACCTACACAGACATATGAAGGATTGTTCAGATCATGGATGGAAACGGGCGCCCGTGACCCCAGAAAGTGCCTCGGCTCTAACCCTAAAGATCTGGGGTTAGGGTCAGGTTACCGTCTTGTCGAGCCTGGTTTGGCTCAGGCCGAAATATAATAGGCTTGTCTTGAGGTCAAGACAAGACATGGCTTGGCTCACTGCCCACTCTCCTCTCCTCCATATAATCCCTATTCCTCATCAGAGTCGTCTGCCTCTGAGTCCTTTCCCATTATTTCCTCCAGCAGCCGACGGGATTCTGGGAACCAAGGGTTGGGACTGGGCTCCCTAGGCACCGCTCGCGCCCCCCACTCTCTCTCCATTTCCCTCAGGTCACCCTCTACATCCCAAGCTTGCCCGGCATCTCTTCTCCGCTGTATCAAACCGCTCAGCATCTTATCAAACTCTTCTAGCCCAGCCTCTGGAGTCGATGGCAAAAATTCCTCTCTAGACCAGCCCTTGTCAGGATTCCACCACCACCTCTTGAGAATTAATGCCAAGTTGTAGCTATTCTCAAGGGCACCCACGTCTTTGATGGTGGAAAGCGTGTCTACAAGCTTGATGTACTTGCGAAGCGTCTGACTGAGAACGTGATTGTAAAGACTTTCAGTCGTTACCTCTTCGTACAAAGGGGCAGCCACAGCGTCGATGCGCATTCTCAATCGTCGAGCCAGTTGATTGGAGCCTCCCATCTCCCTCACAAGCATCTGGGTGTAGCTAGAGTGAGGCGACAATATATCTAGTTACGATTAGTGAATACCTCTTGAACGCAGCTTCTCCACCCATCTTCGTGGACCCTGAAGGTCCGAGTTCGAATATTCAAACACTCACGTTCAATATCCTCTAGCTTTTTGATCTCATCCATGATAACCTCCTGCAGATGTTCCTTGAGGATCTCAATCATTTCGGTCGCGTCTGAAAGGCTCTGAGGCTTGTCATCACGAAAGATATCCCACACTGTGAAGTCCTCCTTCTTGAAACCACCAGGGGTATCTCTCAGTTCTGGCAAATCATCGCGGTTAACGTCAGACACAACTGTTTGCTCGCCTGAGCTCTCGTTCTCGGCAACAACTACGCGATTGCTGGTATCGGATGGGGCTTTGCGCTTAGCGCTACGTTCTGTGTTCTCGTTGGCATCGGACAGAATGCTGCGTTTTCGTGATTTCCGGGTTTCGGCCATGATTACGCTTTCGAAGGGACGGAGAGATGTGAGTTAACTCCGGTCGAATTTCACTCCTTTTCTCGCGTCGTGCAAAATGTCAAGCAAACGGGGAGAAACAGTCGATTGTGCACGGGCAGGAAATGAAATTAAAGTGGTGGATACCTACCTTACCAGTTCGTTGAGCCAAGAAGCGCATCAATCGCCGAGGTACTCCGTATTTCCCCGTTCCTGTACAGATCGGAGGATTAAAAAACCAACCTTAACATTCTCTTCAGCTATCCAGTCTGCTTCCTCTTCCACCATTTCTTCCAACAATTGCTGAGACTTTAGAAACCAAGCCTGCACGGATGTTGCGGAGACAATAAATGCGCCGCTAAGCTAAAACGGGCAGCTTTCTTTTGTTTCTTGTAACAACTGGCTCCCCTTTTCCTCTTTCATGTGCGGTTGGTTACCATGCCAAGGCGCCCCCCCCCTCGAGCAACATATATAAGACGATGCAAGCTGGTATCTCGTCTTGCTCACACATAGACAAAACAGAACGGGCTCCCGGCAACCGAGTTCATCAGCTCCTTGAGCTTCCTTGGCGGCTGGTGAGGCAGGACATCGATCGTGTCTTCGACAGTGACATTGGGACTAGGCGGAATGTTGAGCCATGTGCCCGTTCCAAAGACGTCCTTTCGAGACTGAGTCAGCTTTCAGGGGACCGAC